ATATGGAGATTCCACGCTGCTGAAAGTAAATTCCGATTGGCATTTCGTTGATTTTAGTGAGATGTTCAAAATTCAACAACTAGTATAAGGATCAAGATATAACCCACAAAATATCGATGTGGACCCGATCTGTGATTCGTGGGCCGAATCGCTGCTGCTTGCATGGAATCCTCCTCGGCTCCCGTCGTCTCAATACCAGCCGAAGAGGCACAGTTCTCGTCCTCGACTGTTTCATGATCAATCACACAAGCAGTGGTGGTTCGTTGTTGCAGCCGTATTCCATCATGCTCATCATCACCCTTCGATTCAATTAATTTCACTAGTACCTCTCTCCGTTTGGATTCTGGCTCTGCGCTTGGGCTTGGACTTGGGCTTGTCATCGTTATGCTCTGAATGCGAATATCCCATTGCAAAAGTGGCCAAACTAGTAATTTGCTATGAAACGAAAAGAAAAACGAAGAAAAAAAGACGCAATAATGGGAAATTGGAATACGAAGTTGTCTCGAATCATCATTATTATCCTAGAATAATGGAAGGATCATAAAAACGAGTAACATATAAAACAACATTACTTTAAAAATGATGAAACTAGTAATTTTGACAGTGCAACATTTTTGAAAAATTTCAAAATTATTGAAACATGCAGCTTAGACTTTCTGTTTCCGAATAGCTGCTTCATGGAGATATTTGAGGAATGGAGATGTTTATGGAGATGTTCGCATGGCTACAGATATAGATATCATGGAGAGCAGTAGCATATATGAGCAAATCTGTCTCTATCACTATCTATCTATCTATCCATATCCTAATCCATTAGTGCATATACTGAATCTATCTCGGATAGCTTTTGAATCTATCTGAATTTATAGACAAGAGTGGATTTTATGTGAGCTTGTTGCATTAGATTGGTATTCATTCAAGCTTGTAGACATGAAAACACCAAACGAAAGTGCTAACATTTTGAGAGTGTAATTCAGTCGAGTGGAATGAATAGAGTGAATTTTCATCGACACAACACTGTAATAAGACCACGAAAGTGACAAACCCGAAAGATTGCACGTCAAAAACATCTTATAAAAGTTTCAGTTTCAATCAATCATTTACCGAAAAGTTTTTGATAGTTTCATTACTTCACGGAATGTACTCCAAAAAACAATGAGAATTGAATTTCATTCAAATTTTCGAGGTGCTGAACATCTGTTCGAAAGAAGACTAATCGAGAAGAAAGCACCACCGAGAAATAAAGTGCGAGTGTGTTTGATAATGATTCAATCTCACTGAAAATGATTACAGTCGATCAAAAGAATATGCTGACTAACATGACCGGCAATCGTTTATCGCGAATCGCGATGCTATCGTATAAACGTAGAAATGATAAAGAAGTTGGTGATATCCAATGATAGCATCGCTGATAATAATGATAATCATGATAAGGACAATAATAACATATTTTCGTAACTAGCATAATGAATAGTACAAGTAAGCAGTAATCAGTTCAGATTTAGGATTATTCTTGATATCAATTATACTAGCGATAGTTATCATAGCGATGGTTAAGCTGGCGATATTGACTATGCTAGCGATACAGTTTGAATATGCTAGCGACATTAATTGATGGCGATTTTAGGACTGTGCTTGAGTCTCGGTAACTCAAGCACAGTCTTGAAATCGTTATCGGATAATATAAAAAAATATCATCCGAATATCATCCGAATGCTTGAATATATAAATCAGGACGATTCAATTAATAAAATTGTTTGATCAAAATTAGATGAAATTCTCGGAAATACCCATAGAGCAATAATCACCTCATTAAGCACTAACGTTCATAATGACCAATTTCTAAGATAGGAAAGTGTACTTGAAGAATAAGTTCCATTGAAATTTAGCGAAATGATATAGATTCTCATTTATAAAAGCATTCATTACCCGATAACTAAACGAACGAGTGAAACCTTGACAACAAGATGTAAACACAGATAAATGCATGGATGAGCTGGGCAGTGGACTTTTTTTTGAAACTGAAGTTTTTGAGCACTTACGGAGTCTCGGGGCCTACAACCTTGACCCTTACTCTCGGAGACTTCTAATCACTTATGAGGTCTCGAGCCAACGACTCTACCCCTTACCTTGGGGATCCTAATTTTATCGCTAATAGAACAGTATTGAAGATTAATGCTGGAACTGACACTGGGAAATTAGCTATCATCTCGTTAACGAACAACACTAGACCATTTGATCAACGTACTTACGACTAGATCAACTACGCCTAATCATTCAGATGAACCTTATTCCGTAGCTTTCATCTTAATTATCTTAACGTTAGACTTTAACACTCATTCCTTTCCTCGCATCAACAATATTCATTGATATAATCTGCTAACGATCAGCTAACTACATGCATGCTTTGATTCAACTTATTTTCCAGTTTTTATCTTTAAACTTATTAACTTCAAAATACTACGTCGTTGTATCATTTGACTATTCATTATGCTGCATCGATTTTTACAAGCGTTGAAACTGAATTCACGAAGCCTAGAAATATCAATATTTCATATAGATGTACTCTAGACCAAGACCGATAGATAGAGCAATTAGTGGACATCATAAAATATTCATTTCATAAAACGGAAAGCATAAAATGAATAACTTTCACATACTATGTTTCGTTCGATGGAAATGGAATAATTCGAAGAGTCCTCCGTTTACAACGGGAGAAAATTGGTGAAACGAATAGAAATTCGCTCAAAATACGAGCAAACAGCTAAAGGCAGATTGCAACTGCGTCCTAATAAAACATTTTTTTTGCCGAATGAAACAAACCAAACTGAGGAACGTATTTATAGATGGTACTCAATAGGCAATTAATTGAATCTGTTGGCTATACTTAATAAAAAGAAAATCCATGCAATAAGAGATGAGGTTCACAGAAAGAAAGATTATGCATGTATATGTGGATAAATTCATTTATGCATGAATGCAAGCAAGCAACCATATTGCCATTCAACCATATTTTATAACACACACTCAATACTCTTTTTATTATTCTTATCATCCAGTTTGAAACCTTGACATATTCCATTATGCAGAGTCCCAACAAACTCTATTTGTATTCAGACGTTCAGCACATGGATTCTCATGCTAATAATTGCAGCATTCCCAACTTAGTCCTATACTCAACAAAAATTAGAGTAAGCCAAGAAGTTTACATTCTGATCGTTTGTCAGATTAAAAGGAGGAAACGGGACTAATAGGCCAAACGGATCATACATGCCCTTGGGCCCAATTCTGAAGGTTTTCAATAGTTCGTTGAAGATATACGATTCCACGAAGAATTCTTTCAATGCATGATGAATAGAAATGAGCATGAGAATTATGAAAATTCAGAGTAAGAGATCGATAGAGGGCGTGTGATGAAACCAATTCGCTTACTGATGAAAACAAATAAAATGACGACCTATGATCAATTAACAGATACAGATCGAATCGAATATCTCCATAAAGCGAGATTACAAAGTTGATTCGTATCGAACTCAGGATTTAATCCAAGAAATGTGTCTTCAATCGAGCATGCACTCAGATGAATATCGCATGGCATGCACCAAGCAACCACTGCGGCATCAAGAACTACCTCAAAAAGCATCATTCCACAAAAATGCATGAAAACATGACAGCACAGACAGAATAGCGCATGCATGATGATTATGACTAGGCTCTAGACACACCCATTAAACTAACGTCTACCGGCTTTTTGCACTCATTCAGTTCTAGCATAACTATGCGCTCGTCATTCAAAAAACACTTTCATCATTATGAGCT